TTTTGATCTCCAATGGAAAAGCGATGAACACTACAATTGATTTAGCATAGCTGATCAAAAATGTTTATCCTTTTATTTTGCTTATCATTTTCACAATGATAAGAATGCGAATAATGACGATAATTTATTATCATGTCAAAGTGACTAGTCATGATATTAAAAAGGCGCCTTTTATTGTATTGTAATGTATGTATATATATATTATACATGTGGGGACTGATGAGGAGCGGAGTGCACACCACTTTACCTAGTTAAATGTATGATTTATGATGCCAGCTGACTTCTTAGATTAGACACTGTGTACACAACACATAGAACGGGGTGAGGTAGGGTGGAGTGGAGTGTGGTGGGGCTACAGGGCATTGGTAGACCCCGTGCTTTGCTTGATCACACGCCCTCCCCCCCCGCCATCATAATTTATCTTTAATGCAAACTGGTAACTTGGTGTAATACCTTTTTTGACTTTCAAAAATTCCAATAGCACAGTTGGCAATGGAAATATATTAGCAGTTTTGCAGTCGTATTAGTAGTAGTAATAGAATGAATAGTAGTCAGAAATTTTGAAATATAGGAAGAAAAAACCTTTTTCCCCATTTATGTTTTGCAGTTCCCAGTGTGGTGATAGAAACAGTAGCCACGCTCACACACACACACAGACGCACAGATACGGCGACTAACACGCAGAAAACAGATGTTCACACTCCTAAACCCACACACAGGAACACGCAGTGACACATTTTCCACAAAATAACTTTTAGTCTGACATTCAAGGAGTCAAACAAAGTAAAGCAAAACAAAGAGGAGAATTATTCAACAAAGAATTTGGCGCCAGAATTCAAAAAAATGAAATAGTGAAAGAGAGGCAGGGGTGTACATCATTATGGCCTTTGTCAAATGTGAAAAAATATTTTAACACTAAAGACACTCTGGTTTAAATAAAAATAACATGTTAGTTAACAAGACATAGTTAGTTAGTTAGATATATATTTTCGGTGTTTTATTTTTTTAACTAACCCTAACACAGATTATGTGTATGCGGCTTTGTGTTCATTCATTCGTCCCTGTGAAATAGTAACAGTTAGTCGTTTATTATCATCACTGCTTATCAGATTATCCTCTTCTTCCTATACGTATGTGTGTGAATGTGTGCGTAAGTTTACACGTCTGCATATTACATAATCTCTACAGGCTAACCATAGATACTGTAAGTTACTTTAAAACAAAGTTTTAACTAAGATTAATAACATGCACACACTGGTCTTCCTTTTACTAACTATAAACCAGTTATTTGAGGATAATTTTAGGAAAAAATTAAATCCCATGGATTAATCAAATACCGACTAAATTCTCCTCGGTGGTGTTAGCGTCTTCTCCCAACGCTCCCCTTTCCCACCACGACCCCCAGTAGGATTAGATGAATTGAGTTCTTCATTCGGTATTAGTATGTACTTGGATGTTAAATCAGCAGTGCACCAACTGGACTGAATCAGACGTTGATAACTTGTGTGTAATCATCATTTGTGTTTTTGTAAATGAGGATTGTAGTTTCTGAAACAAAAAACTACGAACGCAAATCCACCCAAGTCTACACCTTCGTTTTATTTAACGGTTAGTTAAGTCTTAAGTCCTTGTTTTTTCAACGGTTATTAATCCTTGACTTTGTCTGTTTTAAACAGCGTAGACAGTAGTCGAATACACTTCTTCTTATTATTATTGTTTCCTTTAATTCCTAGAGGAATATAGGGCTTCAGCCATGCGTCTCCATTGCGTTCGGTTCTCTGCTAGAGTATTCACCTGGCTCCATGTCTGCCCACACGTTTTCATATCCTCTTCACATGACCTCCTCCAAGTCACCCTTGCACTGACGACCAACTCGCCGCCGCTTCCCTTTCGGGTTCCACTCGAGCAATGGCTTGTCTAGTGATGTCACTTGATGGTTTACTCAGAGTATGACCAGCCAATCCATCTCCATTTCTTCCTGCCTATTTGTTTCACAATCCGTTGCTGCTGTGTTGGTTCGCTCATTGCCAGAGATCTCTGTAGCTGATCTTTTCTGACCGGTTATCTGACCTTGAGTATTGAGCGAAGACAACTGGCTGTTGATGAAGGTTTGTAGTTTGTTTGAGATGCTATTTATGACGCGCTGGCCAAGTTTCTGATCCGTACAATAATTAGCACTGACTTCACATTGGAGTTGAAAATCCGGATCTTATTTTCATTTCCATGCTGAGTGCTGTTGATCTCCACACAGACTTGAGAGTATTGAAAGCTTGTCTTGCTTTTCCGATTCTTGCTTTGATATCCTCGTCAGTTCCGCCTGTAGTTGAACAAATTCTTTTTTATCAGATTGAAAAGAATTGAAAATTGAAAGATACACCGGTAGATATGAACTACAGACAAAGTGTAATGATAAGGAAATAAGGTATAAAGGAAATCACATTAGTGGCATGGGATGATGGTTAATTGTCACTCATGATGTGGACCCAAGTCTCTCCATAACTGGTACACATCATTAAGGCGTATTTGCAACGACGAAGGAATTAATGTCTATTGGGAGATTCAAAACAGACATTACATGGTGCTGAAATTAGAGACTCTATCACGTACCTACAACTAGTAATGCGTAGAAATTTGATTATATACCTTAATAAAACCATTCTATCTTATATCACACTCAAACGTTTGAACTCAACACTGATATCAGCCATTTTATGAAGAGACCACTCAGTTCACATGGGATAATCTTTATATGTGAGACCTTTCTATGGATAGTGACTTATGCTAGCTTTTGGTCTCATACTGATTTCGTGCAGTGAGAAATCAGTTTAAAAACATCTGATTGATTAAAGCATTTGTGTAATATTTTTATTATTGTTCCCTTGGGTTACGGGTGGAAAATAGGGCTTCAATAATATATTCCCAACTTGTTCTATTTTCTGCGGTCCTCTTTAACCTGGCTTACAATTAGGATTGCCATTGGTAGCCAGCTTGTCTTACTCCTGTATTCACTTCACAAGCTTCTTTGAGTTTTCTTTTGTGGAACACCCGACACGTGGCATTGTTCTCTAGCCAGCTGTTGAATGAGTTTGATAAAGATATGGGCACTGCACGCCGTAGTGTTGAAGTAGTTTCCAAATTACCTCTCGGTCAGCGCTGTCTGATGAAGGCCTTTTCAAAGTCGATGAAGATAATGTAGAGGTTTAACTGCCATTCTATGCTTTGTTCTGTGATGACGTTGTGTAGAGTTTCAGTTTGATCAGCACATGATTTACCTTTCTTGAATCCAGCTTGTTCAAGTGACAGGTGGATTTCTGCATTCAGTGCATCTTTTATTCTCTCCAGGATGATGTGACTTAGTATTTTACTTGGTGTGGACAAGAGCATTATTTGATGCTAGTTCTTGCGGAGAGAGACGTAAGTCGCCCTTCTTTGGTAGTTTGATAAGGTATTCAGCCTTTCTTCTAATCGGCAGGTTCCCTTCCTTCCTTTCAAACCTTTTGTAATAATGGCATGAGCACATCTGCTTCAGTCTCTCGGTCCGTTTTCAGTACTTCGGGGGGAATTCCATCTGGCCCAGCTGTCTTCCTGGACTTCAGTAACTTGTTTGCATTCTGGATTTCTGCTTTCTTTGGAGGACTGGTATCACCTGATTGGCAGTTCTGTGCGTGCTGTTGGTTTTGGTGTATTTATGGGCGAGTTGCAGGTGGTGGTCGATTCAAGAGTCCTTTAAAGTGATCAGCCCATTGTCTGTTTTGTTTCTTCCCCTTGGTGATCAGGTTCCCCTGGACATCTTTCATTGGTTTCACTTACGTTGGTCTCTTCCCGAATGAAGACCTGGTTATCTGATATTATGTCTTGAGATCTCTTTTACATACAGCCTGCCTGCCTGTTCTGCTTCATTTGCCGGCCAGTGTGTCTTCGAATTGTCTATTGTCTCTCCTAGCACTCTTCTTCTTCACTTCTCTCTTTATTTGGTGCAGTGTACATTGCTGTGAACTCAGTTTCTCCTTCTGCTGTCCATCCTTGCATTGAGTAGTCATCTCCTATTCCACCATCCTGCTCTACTGTCTTCTATTAGATTCCGGTTAGGTGTCCTTCGAAAGCCATTCCTTGTGTTGTCTTGTCTCTTCTTTCTCCATAGGGCAGTTGCACACGCTTCCTGAACATCACCCTCGGAGAGTTAGTTCCAATGTTCTTCTACACAGGTTTTTTATTGCTGCTACACAGTGTCCTCAACCTTGTTCTGATCTGATCTGTGGTGAAGGGATCCCTTGTAGTTTTTTCCATCAGTTTTTGAGTATTAGACTTGAATCGCGGTCTGTCTTCAGTTGTTCTGAAAGCTTTCAGCTCCAACTTGAAGGTTCCTTGCACTAGATGATGATCTGAGCGCACATCTGCTCCCCTTCTCGACTTTGTGTTTAGAGAGCCGCGTTTCCACTTCATTGAGCAGCACTATATGATGAAATCCATCTGGGTACTAATTTCACCTAATACAACTCTCAAGTTTTCAGTTTCGAGGATTTGATTGATTCCAGTGGATATTTTGTCACGAACTGACATCAGCTACAAATTCAGAGTACTGGACGGCTGTTTTATCTTAGCCTCATAGCCATCGGGAGGATACACCAACAACGTCACCAAGGAAGGCACCCAAGACCTTCAGGTTACGAGGAGTGTCCATTAACCATTCAACCACCAGGATGGAATCCAATACACTTTGAACTCGTACTTCTTTCAATTTGCAATATGATACGAACGTCTTGATTGAACAGTAACGTGTTCGCCTTGTGACTTTTCCCTCACAATCAAAAAGCAGGATAAAGCAGAGGACCGATATCTCTTGGTTTTTACCTGTTCTTTAACTAATGTCGTTTCTACCTTAAAATAAACCAGTGCTATTGACGTTTCCATCTGAATAAAAGCCAGTCGACTAGAGCACTATGATTAAATAGTTTTTTTTCAAAATGCAATTAAGAAAATGGCCGATAAGAAATAATTACCTGAATATTGTGCTTTTGAATTACGGATATTGCGCCAGTATAACTAAATAATGGTAAACTAAACACTTGAAATGATGGCGGTGCATTCATTGTCGACGTCAATGGATTCACATCGACTACAGGTTGTAAAAAAGTAGCAATACGTAAATTCACTGGTTGACTTATTTGAAAGTATGGATCGACAGCGGTCATTGTAATGACAAATACCTTGATTTACAAAAACAAAATAGAGAAGAAAACAGTTAGAAAATGTTAGCCGGAGTAATTTGTAATAATGAATACTACAAATTAAGACAGATCCTCATAAATTGTTGACTAAATCAAAATATAATGTGTAATAACACACCAAACGTCTGAGCAGCCCCAGTCAATATTGATGTCCGTGAATGACATTCAGGTAATCATGCTATTTAGTGCTTAATCTCTGTTGTCCAGAATAGATCCAACACAATTCAGGCTAAGAGCCATATTTATTCTGTGAGAGCTGATGATACTACCTAGCTGTCCGGACTGAAACGGGTGCGCAGGGGGACTCGAACCTCTTGATCGACTGACTGTGAGGTTAATGCTTATACCAATGAGCCACATATCCGAATCAAAAGGTGCTAAAGGAAAAATCACTTGACGGGATGACCCCCTGTATTCCTTATTAATTTATCAATGCATTTCGTTTACTGTTACAATCAATCAATGGCTGCATAAATTGTTATGGAGTTAATGTTTTCGTAAGGATACTTGTTCAAACTATCAAAGAAAGGAGACTTAAGTCAATGCAAGAACTGGCGCGGAATTATGCTCCTGTCCATCCCAAGCAAAATGGCAGTCACCTCTCTATCTCAACTTCATGAACTTTGAAAAGGCCTTCGACAACGTCGATCGAGAGGTGCTTTGGCAACTACTTCGCTACTACGGGGTGCTACCGACAATTACACATCTCATCCAACAGCTGTACGACAATGCTGCATGCTAAGTAATCCACAACGGGAAACTCACGGAATCGTACGAAGTGAGGACAGAAGTAAGACAAGGCTGCCTACTATCGCCAATGACTTTCCTGATTGCAGCAGACTGTATAATGCAACAAACAGCGGGCAACTAGGAAACAGGCATAAAATGGACACACACAAAAAACTTGGAGGATCTGGACTTCGCCAACGATATATGTCTGATTTCCTACAGACTGGAAGATATGCAAGTGAAAAGTAACAAGTTGGCAGAAGAAGCATCAAAGATGGGAGGGATTTCAGGTGAACATAGAGAAAACAGAGGGGATAAAGATTCCTGGGCAACATCAACAGCAACAATAACAGATAACGATCAGCATAAATGAAAGGAACCTGAAAGAAACAACCTCCTTTACCTACCTACCTGGGAAGCATCGTTTCAACTTCAGGCGGAACCGACAAGGATATCAAAGCAAGGATTGGGAAAGCAAGACAAGCTTTCAATACTCTCAAGTCTGTGTGGAGGTCAACAGCACTCAGCATTAAAAATCAGATCCGGATTTTCAACTCCAATGTGAAGTCAGTCAGCGCTACTATACGGATCAGAGACTTGGCCGGCGCGTCATAAAGAGCATCTCAAACAAACTACATACCCTCATTAACAGTTGTCTTCGCTCAATACTCAAGATCAGATGGCCGGCCAGAAAAGATCAGCTACAGAGATCTCTGGCAATGAGCGAACCAACACAGCAGCAACGGATTGTGAAACAAATAGGCAGGAAGAAATGGAGATGGATTGGCTGGTCATACTCTGAGTAAACCATCAAGTGACATCACTAGACAAGCCATTGCTCGAGTGGAACCCGAAAGGGAAGCGGCGGCGAGTTGGTCGTCAGTGCAAGGATGACATAGTGGAGGGAGGTCATGTGAAGAGAAGATGAAAGCATGTGGGCAAACGTGGAGCCAGGTGAAAACGTTGGCAGAGAACCGAAAGCAATGGAGACACACTGCTGAAGCCCTATGTTCCTCTTGGAATTAAAAGAAACAATAATAATAATAAATGTTTTCGTGCGTCGGTGGCACAGCGGTAGAATGCTCGCCAACCACGCCACATGTGGTCTGGGGTTCGATCCCCGGCCACAGACGCACTCCTTTACCTCGCTTAGCCAGTAATAAGACTGGTAAAGAGGGGAGGTTGGGCATGAGGCTGGTAACCCATCCTGTAAAAATAAACACCACTGCTACCGAAACTTCGAACCTCCAGCTTGAAGCCTCATGTTCAACTGGGAACGTAAAGGAATAAAAAAATTTCTTTCGACTGAAACCTTGTGAGATCCTGTTAGAAATCTTTAGGAACCCCTTAATTTTTTAACTACGAAACATACATTTAACTGATCAATGATAAAGGGTACAAGGAATAAATCTAAACATTTTTATTGGCTGCTTCACTTTTCCTAACAGTATACAAAATTCACTATGATGAAATTAACATCATTGAATTAAAATGTCGCTGAGAGTTGTGAAGCTTAAGAAAAGCAAATTTATAACCACGAAGGCGAAACCAATTATGTGTTAGTTTAAAATGGTTATGTATATTTCTTTCTTTTATTCTTAAATCTTTGAAATGCATGAACGTTTTACTAGAAAGCTTATCAACAAACTCACATAACTTACACAACTCATCGTGTTTTAAACATTCAACGTTTGAAAAATTACAGAATTCCTAACTACCTGCGCTTACATACTGCAATTATGACAAGCGAGGTAATGGTGGCAGCTGGACATGGTATAAAACTATATTTAATTGAGGAACACCATGAAACTATTAGGAAATGAAACACTAAGCAATTAGGGCTACAAATCAATGGTAGAGTATTCCACTGCAGACCGAGAGGCCCTCGGTTCTCAACCGGATGACCCCTCCTCTTTGCATCAGTAATTCAGTGGAAGAGTGGTCAATTTCCTAGACTCACTGATAAACCGCTTATTAGGTTATGAGCTGAATAAAGAGAGAAAGTTGGGCAACTGCAGCTCAAATATGAAGCTCTACGTCCTAATGGAACCCAAGCCAAAGAAAAAATTAACAATATACGAAGTGAAATTGAGGAACTCAAATGTATGCTTAACAACAGTAATTAAAAAATCTTTGTTGAACCACCCAAAAATACTAGAGACACTTCTATCAAGAAGTCCAGATCAACTCAGATTAAAACCCTCAACAAATTGACGATAGAAAATAACAAAGTAAGCAACGAATTTTCCACAACTGTCAATGGAACAAAGTGGATGATCAACCTCTGAAAAAAGAAGTAGGCTCAAAATTGCTCGGGAAAAGATTGAATTTCAACATGTCAGTTAATCAACTGAAACCTGAGGATACCATTCCTAGCTAAGGTAGCACTAAATTTAGCAAATGAGACAACAATTGAAAGGGTCCAACCACAGTGTGCATCAGTGGCACAGCGGTTAGGACGCTCGCCGACCATGCACATGGTCCGGAGTTCGATCCCCGGCCACCAACGCACTCCTGCTTTACCTCACTAATCCAGAAATAAAAGCTGGTAAAGATGAAAAGTTGGGCATGAGGCTGCTAGCGACCACATCCTGTAAAAATAAACACCACTGCTACAGACACTTTAAACCTCTAGCTTGAAGGCGCCCTATGTTCCACCGGGAACGTGAAGGAATGTAAAAAGAACAGTCTGCATTAGGGGTGAATCATCTGAGTGTAACACTGATGCATAGTTATATATTGCGAAAAAAATAAATCATTTTAATTCAGCTATCACTTAAAATTTCGTAACCAAAAATTCATTCTTCTACATCAAAAGAAACCTTAGAATGTTGTAAGTATTAAAGATAAAATAACTGCAAAGAAAGTAAAATGAAGTAAATACTTTGTGAAGTATCATTTCAATAAGAAGACTCCAGAAGATTTAGAATTGGCGGGCGATTTATGCTTTATTATTATTATTGTTCCCTTGGGTTCCTAGTGGAACATTGGGCTTCAACTGCACGTCTCCACTTGTTTCTGTCTTCTGCTGTACTTTTCACCTGCATCCATGTTAGGCCATACTGTTTCAACTCCTCTTCACACGATCTCCTCCATGTCACCCTTGGACGTCCCACTCGCCGCTTCCCTTTTGGGTTCCACTCGAGCATTGGCCTGACGCGCGATGTCACACAGCGGCCTCCTCAGCGAGTGTCCAATCCATCTCCTTTTTCTCCTGCATATTTGTTGGGCGATTGGTTCTTGTTTTGTTTATTCCCATAGTTTCTCGTTTGTGATTCTTTCCGGCCATCTGATCTTCAGTATAGAGCGAAGATAGTTGTGTTGATAAAGGTCTGCAACAGGCTGTTGGAAATGTTCTTTGTGACCCGCCAAGTTTCTGATCCGTATAGAAGAACTGACTGACTTGACGTTTGTATTGAAAATCCGAATTTTGTTGTTGATGTTGAGTGACGAAGATTTCCAGATTGGTTTCAGGTTGATGAATGTGTTTCTCGCCTTCCCGATTCTCGATTTGACATCCTCGTCCGTTCCTCCTGTCTGTAGTTGAGACAATGCTTCCTAGATAAGTGAATGAATTAACCTCTTTCAAATCCCTCCCGTTGATGGTGATTGGCGCTGGATGTTGCTGCTGTTGTTGTTGTTGGTTGGTTGGTTGGTTATTTTCATAACCTCCATCTTGTCTATGTTCACCTGGAGTCAGTCCTGTCTTTGCTGCTTCTTCGACCAGTTTGTCGGTTTTCGCTTGTAAGTCTTCAATTTTGTGTGACATCAAACATAAATCATCCGCGAAATCCAGGTCTTCTAGGTTCTTCACGTTGGTCCAGGATATCCCTGTCTTCTCGTTTCCCACTGTCTGATGCATAATCCAGTCCATCACAATTAGGAATATCATTGGTGATAATAAGCACCCTTGTCTGACTCCGGTGTTTACTCCAAACGCCTCGCTGATTTATGCTTAACATCACACAAACTTGATGTACAGGGAAATACCAACAGGTTGGTAGAAGAGGAAGGCGGCGATGAAAGGACTTCAAGTGAAAGTAGAGAAGAGAGAGAGGTTATGAAAATACACATCGACGGACAACAGCATGCACCAATCACTATCAAAAGGAGAAATTTGATGGAGGTCAATTCTTTCACTTATTCGGTCAACATCATTTCAAATACAGGCGTCATGGACCAGGAACTTAAAGAGAGGATCGGAAAACAAGGTAGACCCTCAATGCTCTGAAACCAGTGTGCAAGTCTACTCCACTTAGAATATTTTTCAACACGAATTTCAGATGGGTGATATCGCCTATATGTTTCACAGACTTAGTTGGTGCATTATCAAATGCATTTTGAACACGCTTCAGACTTTTGTCAACAACAACCCTCTTCACTCAATACTGAAGATCAGATGGACATCCAGAAAGGATAAACAACAATTAACTCAGGCTGGCAACAAACCCGCCAACAACCTACAGCCCCAACAAATATGCCGAGGAAAGTGGAGATGGGTAGGACATACGCTGGGGAAACCAATGAGTGACATCACGTGTGAGGACCTTAAGTGGAACCATAATGCGAAAAGATGAAGTGGACGTGGATCTGAGGATGACTTAGAGGACATAGTGCAAGAAGGAGATGAGAACTTCTGAGAATTCATGGAGCAACTGAAGACAACTGCCTGAACTACTTAAAGACCACACATTTTAAAGTAAATCGTGTATAAAGACTAACACTATGTAGAGCGAAGAAATCAAGGACGTGCATTTCGTCCCATTTAGGACTTATCAGCTGGATACGCTTGTATCCCCAGTGTCTCTAATAAATAAAAATTAATAATCATTAAACAAGAATTAGCCTAAATAGCCCCATGGTCTGGTGACATCTTTCAGTCTGCACACTGCAGATCTCAAGATATTTCTCAATCGAGTAAGCTGTAGGACGTTTGAAATACTTCATTTATCTCTCCTTGGTATCCATAATATTCCTACTTTGTTAAACTAGTCAAACTGATCAGCAAAAGTGCATAAAAGCATCACTTCCAGTTGCATCTGTTTTTTTACAGTGAAGTTGATAAACTGAACGGCCGCCTACTTAAATCACAGTGTTACCTGAATTTCCATGCAGCATTACACATCACCACGTACCCCTTTATCATCGTCCTACTCATCCAGTTTCTATGTCTGCAACATTTATTTATGCACATGTTTTAATTAGTTTTCAATCTCCTCAACGTGCACTTCTCAAATGAAGGAAATATATCATAAAGAATAGGACCTTGATTCAAGTGGAACATCGAATTACCGCTTGATATGCTGTCGACTACCGACCTACCTGAAGATTATGTACGAAGATTAAATATTCTGCCATAAAGTACACTGAGAATTCTGTATCACATGTGATCAAATTTTTCAGAACAAAGCTATCATTTATTTTCATTAGTACTGAAATATTCCCCGAATCTCAACTGTGAGAATTCTTCACGAACCAACAACAGTTAGAAGGATCACTGAAAACCCGAAAGCACTGGATAGCCACTTCGTCTTATTTCGGGACCCTTCAGCAATGTGTACACACGGCCCCACCAGGGACCGAAGCCTGGACCTTCAGGTTACGAGACCAAACTCTTCAACCATCCAACTACTTTGACTGAGATTCAGTTACCCATGAAGTCTACCAGTGCTCCATCGTTTTCATTGATCCCTCTAAATGGTTTTGGTTCATAATGGAGTCTAAAAACTAAAATTAATCCGAAATCCCCCACAAGTCACACAATCTGCATTCCCAGATCTTTTCTCGAAATGGCAATAGGTGAAGTGTTTGCGTAGAAGTAAAAAAATATCGATTCATTGAAAATGAAAACTTAAATGAACAAAGAATGTTCTTTTCGATAACTTTGTCATCAGGTTCTACATTTATGTGAACATAATAATTAAAGAAATATTTTTATCGACAATGGGAAAGACAAATCCTTCTCCTCAGATTCAACCTCTTCAGACTGTTTAGTAAAAAGAAAACCAGATGGTCAACCTAAAATAAACATTTCCAGAAAGCTAACACACTAGAACAGACATTTAGACTACTTTTCAGCACATCCCTTTATCACCAAAGTAACTTTGGCCAAGTATCTAATTAACAGGGCCAAACGTCTAGTTACTGAGGAGGAATAGATCAGCAGGGAGCTAAAATTGGTTCAATCCACTCTTGGATCCCAACACCTTCATAAAAAGACATTTAAAATGTACAGGTAAGGATGAATGGAAACCTGTTGCTGAGATTTGGGTTAGTAGAGTGCTGATTCCTTACCGCAAAGAAACTTCGGATGAGATAAAGCGAATCCTTAACAATCATGACATTAGTGTGTATTCTCATGCGGCTGAAACTTTACAATCATCAGTGGTGAAGGTTAGGGATAAAATAGAAGAAGACAACCAAGAGAACTGTGTGTAGCAGATCATTTGTGGAGATTGTGATGCCATATATTTGGGAGAAACTTCCACACAGGTAAATTTAAGAGTGAAGGAGTACAAACAATGTCTAAAGGTGGTTCCAAAGACCTCTGCAAATTTAAAGAAGCTAGAAAACAGATCATCAATTGCACTGCACTCAACAGAAACAGGACATAAGATCGTCCTTGATAGGACTAAGGTTCTACAGAAAGGTTTTGGTTCGTATAAAGAAAGACTGACTGCAGAAGCGCCACATATTTGGGCAAATCCTAAAAGTTTGAAAGGAATTGATTTATAAATAAGAATGGATATGTATCACTGGTTAATCATACTTGATCTAAATTCCTGATTGTCTATGTCTTCTTATGGAGAGGCTAACAAATGATTCACAATCGTTTCCCCAAACCAACACACGCACACGCACATATTGTTGTACCTAGCGTATACACACTTTTATCTTTCCCATTCAGTTATCTACGACCATGAACTTTAGTCGAACGTAATCACTAAGATTCTTATGCAAAAGTACACACTGTTTACAGTGTATAACAAAAGTAGACTAATATTTGTAATTCTGAGGTCAAATTTTGATCACAGCTCATGCAATTTTGTTTATTATGCGTTTTGATGACTGTTTCATGACTCATATGACTGGACAAAAGTTTTTAAAAACAAGGGATGTTGTTTTTATACATAAACCTTAGTTATTTTAATTTCGATTAATTTCCCTGAAGAAGTTGTAACCAGTTGGAATTACGTTGGAATTACGCATTTCTATTTCGCTGAGATTTTACAAATATAATTTTTACAAATGTCTAGTTCTCACTTGGTGCCCAATTATTTTGGAACTATTCGGTCAAATCTTGACCACAGTTCAAATGGACATTATTGTTGTCGTTTTAAGCTACATTGAATCAATAGTTAGTATCAACAGGTTACACTATGAAAGCATCAGTAAGAGGAGATAATGTGCATTAATTTAACAATAAATGGAACCAATATCAGATAACTTAAATGAATAAACAGAATTTTTGAATTTACAGGTTCAGCAGTATGACATAGTAGCAACAGTAGATAGACCTTCTTCTTTTCCACTCAGAACTTCAATTAATTTAAGCAAATTGCAATAGCCTCTACGGCTTGGTAATTTATTTGATACCCGATAGATGATTATAGAGAAAGACTCTCCCTGACCTGCTTGGACAAAGTGATCTAATATAGAACTGTTGAAGGTTTCAACAACAACTTCATTATACCACATTTTTATGTATCACTGAGCAGAAAACATTAAGCTGCTGGAGCGACAGCCAATATAACTGGCTACAGTGGAGTAGTTGAACTGGTAGATCCAATCAGAGGTGACTAGCCTCGGTAATTTTTCTTTCAGTTTCGGAATGAAAACCGGTTGTGTGGAATATGTAAGCCTTTTATAAGTCTTTGAACAGAAATATTGGTCAATAAACATTATTTGCAAAATTCATAGAAAACAACTAACTAACTTTAACTAAAGATTCCGCATAATTTAACAGCTGTAAAGCTATTAATCCTTGACGTAGATCAGTCAGTCGAAAGCTTGTCACTGGTCTAGTTGGGTCGCGTAGATTGACTATTTGAGCTTGCAGAGGACCTTGCATTTTTGTCATATTTATATCTAGGTAATCCAGTCCAGGAATTGAATCACGTGGAATACTTATACTGTCTTTTGGTAGAACTGATAGACTTCCACCGATGTGTGTGACATTCACCTAGAATAAAGGAAGATATAAAGTATTAACGTAAATAAAAGTACAGCAAAACTCTTAACTTGAACAGTCAGAAAACAATCAGGTGCGTTCATTGTCAGATTTCATAATATCAACCTGTTTGGTTAGATAAAATACAATCAAAGTCTAATTCCAATATGAAGCAAAAATTTATTTCATAAAGTCTCACAGTATTATACAGTAGTAATATTTACTGATAACACTTCGGGCACAATTTATTGCTGATAATCAAACGAAGTTACTCACACAACTTTCCGACTTCGTTTACATAATTCTATTATTAATCATATACATTGAGGAGACATCTGAAATCCTACAAAGTCAATCAGAAACAAGCTTTGTAGGTGAAATGACCCTACTAACCTAATTAAAGAGAATAATAAAAGTTAGAGAACCATTAGAAAAACACCTGAGAATACTGGACAGCCATCTGTTTCCTCCTCCTACTTTGGTACTCTTCATCAGTGCGCACCCAAAACCAGGGTTCGAACCCAGGACCTTCTGGTTACAAGGCAAGTGAGCTCGTAGACCATTAAGCCACTGGGACCAAATCCAATAGACAGCCCATGAATTCTAACTTCTGATAATTCATGACATACAGCGACCACTTCGCAATGTCTTCTTTGATGATTCACTGCCTCACCTTCAACCTGCTGCACCCAGGTCACTGCCTGAATAGGACCAGTCGTTAGTGAGCATCAGATTAATTTTCAAGTATTGGTTTTTGTAGGGATTTAGTCTGTTTGATTGGTTGGAGGATTTTATCATGAGCTGACATCGGATTGGGTTCCAGTGGCTTAATGGTCTATGAGCTAGCTCGCCTTGTAACCAGTAGGTCCTGTGTTCGAACGGTATGGGTGGGTGCATACTGGTGAGGAGTCCCAAACTAGGCGGAAAAAACAGCTGGCTGTCCATTACTCTCAGGTGGTTTTCCAATGGTTCTCTAACTGATGTCAGCTCATGATGAAATCCTCCAACCAATCAAACTAAATCCCTACAAGAACCAATACTTGAGAACAATATAAGTTAAAAAAATAACTTGCAATGACTGTGAGGTCAACCACATAGGTCACACTAGCAGTTCGAGGGTGGTCAGATTATCAGAACATAAGAATTTATCTAAGTGTGGAATGATAACAATAAGATTTAATTTATCCGACATGTATAATGTAGTTGCGTGATAGACATTCCGAACAGTTTCATATATATATATATATATATGCTCATCATATGTAATTATATAGAAATTGCCACGCGTCAAGAATAAACTAAAGGCTACTATCCACCTCTGTATTCATCTACTCTTTCGCATGCTGCTGTGGAGCTTATTACATAGGATATTGTGAGCATGCTTTCCGAAAACGACTACCTGAACACTATCCAGTTTGGTCGATGACAGGCAAGCATTGGGTGACGAAGTTTTCTATCTGCGAACACTTTCTTGAGTCAGACCATCGAGCCCCCCGCAATTTATCCTTTAAAGTTAATAATATCCAGGGCTAATTTCAATGACTTTAAAGGTTTACCATTTTCTCCACTTATGTACAGCTGAAGGTCTAGCTATACATGGACACAAACCCAAGTCATGCATTCAAAAAAAGTTTTCTCAAACCACTGTCTTTCCTTTGGTCATAGTAATATCTGTTAGAAGTATTTAATCAAGTATTGGGCCATTGGATTGGGTCCTAGTGGCTTAAAAGTCTACGAGCTAGCTCGCTGGCCTTGTGACCAGAATGTCCTGCGTTCAAACTCCAGTGAATGTGTACTACCGATGAGTCCCAAACTAGACTGACGAAACGGCTGGCTGTCCAGTACTCCCAGGTGGTTTTCAAATGATTCTCTAAATGATGTCAACTCATGATGAAATGTTCCAACCAATCAAATATTTTATCCCTTGAATTCATTCCACTTCACTTCATCTTTGCCGTCTTTATTGTTATCACCATCATCGTATTGGTAATTTTTTAGACAGCACGACCTACTTTTTAAATCTAAACACTGATTCACTTATTTAATAATCTTTTAAAATATTGTAAGTCATCCACTTCAACTCTACCTCTTAAAAACCATGTTAATTACCTTTATTCTTGTAAATATGTGGGATCAGATTATTGTTCGAAATGTATTGTACAAATAGCATCACATTTTTCAGATAATCTCTGTCTTCTAATAACACTATGCAAATATCTTTATTCTAATTCGTATGCTTATTGACTGAACAAGGGTTGATATCAGTTAGAGAACCATTGAAAACTAGCTGGGCGTACCAGACAGCTGTTTCTTCCTAGTTTGGGAACCACCGGCAGTACGAACCCAGGACCTTCTGGTTACAATGGTAAGCTTGTCCATCATTCAGCGACTGAAACCCAATCAAATAGCCAGTACATAAATTCTAACTTCTACAAATTCGTGATTTAGCGTGACCACGAACCAATGTCGTCGATGGGCACTCCATCCTTACACCTGACTGGATGGACCTCACTAGAACTCCAGGAAAGTCCGTCCTGTAGCAATTCATTAGCGAGCATCTGACTAGTTATTTTCTTGCTGAAGGTTATTCTATATCTTTTGTGACCGTTTCTCCGAAAGTTAAGCCATATATAAGCTATATATATGTACACTTTAGGTCTGCTGTGATTGGTTGGTGAGTTCCTCAAGGTTAAGCTTTGTTATTGTTTTTTCTCATGACCCTGATTCGGGACGTAAACATTGACATAAATTGCTGTCTACAATTCTTACTTGCAAACAGCTCTCACCACAGTAGTAGTCAGTGTATTCAACTGTCACCCTTTCTCGTATCACAAACTCCAAGTAATAGACTACTCACTTCTTCAAACAGTTTAAAGAAACGAACGAGAAATTTCGATAAAGAAGGAAAGATCAGATTTCCAGTATAAAATGATATTATCATTCTATTTCACAGGTTCTCATCCTCTGCACACAACACCTGAAATTATAATGGCTATAAAAACGAATACAGCAAACTTCAATGCTTGAATGGTAGTAGAGGAAATACTATGAAAGTTTAACATGTCTGGAAGTTGAAGTTACCATCGGTTTATACGGTTTCGACAAAGAAAAGAAGTGGGAGACACGGAGAAGAAAAGACAGAAAATAGGAAAATCGAATAGACAGTGTTAGCTTCTAGATTCATATGGCAGCGCAAGAAGGTTATATTTCACAAGATTCAGAGGTTGCCCAGTGAGTTGAAATCACTAATACATATGACTAATCAATGTAATGTACCGAGGGAGGGAGAGATTAATTACAATCTCCCTCTGTATGCATAAGTTTGGTTTGAAACGTTTAATTGCAGTTACTTCAGTAAATAGTAGTAAGTCACAGGGAACATACAAAGGATAGCAAATTTACTACGAGAAATTGTAGTCAATCTCTTACTCCCTCAGTACATTACACTGATAAGTCATTCATATTAGGGCCTTCAACTAACTGGACAAGTTTTCAATCTTATGAACTATAAACTTCTTGAGCTGAGATGCCAACTTACGAGCTAACATTAGTCGTTAGAGTTTTCTCTCTTCTCCCTCCTCCTTTCCTATTTTGAAAGCACGTAAATTGATCATAACTTGGAGGATCTGGATTTCGTCAATGATTTATATCTGATTTCCCACAAACTGGAAGATATGCAAGTGAAAAGCAACAAGTTGGCAGAAGAAGCATCTAAGACACGACTTCAAGTGAACATAGAGAAAACAGAGGCGATGAAGATTACTGGCCAACAGCAATAGCAACGTCAACAGACAACAATCAGCATAAATGGAAGAAATCTGAAAGTAGCAGTCTCATTTACCTACCTACCTACCTACCTGAGATCATCGTTTCATCGACAGGCCGACGGAAATGATTAGGATATCAAAGTGAGGAGCGAGAAAGCAAGGCAAGTTTACATTTCTCTCAAGTCTGTGTGGACATCAACACCACTCAGCATGCAAAATAAGATGCAGATTTTCAACTTGTGGTTTGTAGGGCATAAGACGTCAATAATACCAGTTACCTTTCTACATTGCTGTAAGCGCTGGCTTGAAATACACGGAACTTTTCCAATCCAACTAAGACTTTGGGATTTCATAATTTGCAGCTTAGACCACAGATTGATGTCAGTTAGAGAACCATTGAATCCAGTAGGGAGTGCTGGACAGTTGTTTCAACCTAGTTCGGGAAACATTGGCAGTACGCACCCGCCACAGGTGGTTCGATCCAAGGATCTTCCGATTACACGTCAGTCTCGTATACCATTCAGCTACTGGGACCGATTCAATGGCCCATAAATTCCTCATTCGCTGGTGATTGGCTGCAGGACCGAGTTTCCTGGAGTTCTAGTGAGAAGTCATGATCAGTCGAGAGTGCAGATGGAGCTCCCACCGATGACTCTGGTTGGTGGTCGCACTAAAATAACTAACTGGTAGAAGTTAAAATTCATGGACTGGCCACTAAATCAGGTCCCAGTGGTTGAATGGTATACGAGATTGCCTTGTAACCGGAAGGTCCTGCCTTCAACCCTCAGTGGGTGTGTACTGATGATGATTCCCAAACTAGGATGAAAAAGCTGTCCAGTACTCCCTGGTGGTTTTCAATGGTTCTCTGACTAATATCAACCTGAAACAAACAGAATCCCTACAAACTAATTCTTGAAAATTTTATAATTTTATCCACTGGTAGTTAACAAAAATTTCATCAACTGTTGCCTTCACTCAATGATGACACATATAAACACTCACTAATAAAGGGAATAAAATTCCCACTTGAATCAGAAAATGAACAAGGAGAATTAGCTGTCATGTTAGATTGTAAGATAAAACGAATAGAACAAGGTAAACTGCACACTGATAGATATTTAGACTTTAATTCATCTCAGCCGTTATGTATCTGGGATGGCAGGCTTAGTTAAGAGTCTCACAAACCGAGCAGTAGCACTAAGTAGTACAAGAAGAGACCTAAATGATGAAATGAAACAGATAGAA